TTGTGAATGATGTTGGTGGAAGTGATAGGGGTAGTGCATAAATAAGAGTGAAAGAAAATACAAGATAGATAAGTGTAGAGAGATAAAAACGAAAATCAGTACCGCAAAAGTATGTATAGCCGTAGCGGAAAATGAAATAAAGAGCCCTAGCAAGGAACAGTGGCTGGAGCCGCAATAAAAATAATGACCGGAGTCATAGTGGCCGGAGCCAAAGTAAAGGGTGTGACGCTGGGTCACTGTGGCCGTAGCCGAAGTGAAGTGTGTGACACTGGGTCACTGTGGCCGTAGCCGAAGTAAAACGTGTGACACTGGGTTACTGTGGCCGTAGTCGAAGTAAAACGTGTGACACTGGGTCACTGTGGCCGTAGCCGAAGTAAAATATGTGACTAGGTCACTGTGGCCGGAGCCATCAGGTCGGTTGCCGAAGTAAAACACTTGCCAAAATTTAAAATGTTCAAAAGTGGGAAGGAGTGTTGAAATGGGCTTAAGTGGGCCCATCTGAAAAGTCTGACTAAGACGTGGCACGTGACGCGACAGCTGTCGTCTGAATGACGTACGTAATAAATGCCGCTGTAAAAAGATAACTGCAACAGTTCAACAGGCAGATTTGAAAAGCAAACCGTCGAGTTCGAAACGGTGTCGTTTAATGGTTAACCGTCGAATTCGAAACGGTGTCTCTGCAGCCGTTAGATTGAGTTAATCACAGCCATTGGGGCGTATTTTGCCTTTGGTATAAAAGGCTACACTTTTGTAAAGAGGACTTTTTTACTCTCGTTATTTTGCTTCAAATTTCCTACTGAATTGCTACTAAACTTCTGCGGTTTCGTGCTGTTTGCGCTTCAATCCAGACTTCAACAACAGTTTCCAAGACCAAATTTAGGTAAAGTTTATGAATTTTTTACTTTGATTTTGTCGAATTGATTTTGTCAAAGTGGTATTCTCCTTTCTCCCTTTCTGTGGTTGATTTTGGGTTTTTTGGAGGAAATTAGGGTTAGGAGTGGGAATGTGTTGAGTGTGCTGGAATTGTTAAGGGTTTTGACATCGGTTCTCCTCCCCTTTATGCAGAAATTGAGATGTCTTCAGAAGAGGCCAGGAGTGTAGTGGGGAGCGAAGTGCAGCCCTTGGATTACGGTAGTATGGATACGGAGAGTAGTCCGTCTCCAACTAGTTCGGAGAGGACAGTGGAGGAGAGGATGGATCATAGGGTGGTAGAAGAGGTAGAAGAGGAAGAAGATGAGATTCCCTCCAGCATTTTGGAGGCGGGGAATAGGGTAGATGGGTGTTATGACTCGGATTTAGATATAGTATCTGAGGTGAGGGGGTATGTGAGCGAGTTAGGTAGTAGGGATAGTCTTAGGGGCCTCGTGGGGAACTGTAACCTTCCTCCCCATGTCCTAATCAGGCCTGCCGGGGTGAATGAGAGGGCATGCTCAGCACCCCGAGACCATTGGATGCCCATATACCTGCATTATTTGATTGCAGGGCTTAGGTTTCCCATTCCAGAATTACTGGTTGGACTATTATTAGATTATAGTATAGGAATAACCCAGCTAACTCCAAATGCCATGAGGGTAGTAATAGGTTTTCTTGTATACTGCAGAGTTCGGGGGGTTGGGGTCCCTACAATGAACATGTTCAAGCATTTTTTCATAATTAAGGCTGGGGGTAGGGGGGAGAAGGGGTGGTATTACTTCGGTCCTCGGTCGTCCAGCAAAGAGAATAAGAATTTATTCTCTGCTGGACCGTCATCCATCAAAGGGTGGAAAGAAAAATTCTTCTTTGTGGATGACACCGAGTGGAGTAGAAGGGATGCCGAGGTGGAACAGTTGTCTGCTTGGAAGGCTAAGAAAACCAAGCAGAACAACTATAAGTTAAATAAGGATGAAGTGGAGGAGGTAGAAAAGCTGGTGAGGGAAGGAGACGTAGTGGATATCCTGTATCTCACCAGCCCGATGGCGATAGAGGCTGCTGAGCTCTATGGGCCGAGCTCCTTGAGTGAAGGTTTGTGTATGTTGTTTCCTTTTGCAGCTTAGTTGATTTCCAATTATTGTGTTTTAACACTTGTTTTTGCTCTGCAGCTGAGATGAATGATTTTGTAAGTGTTGCTGGAGGACTGCGCATCCCAAAGAAGCCAAGGAAGAAGTCAACGACTTCAGCTGCGGCGAATAGAGGGGTGCCAGAGAAAGAGCGCCTGCCCAGCACTTCGGCTCGAGTGCTGGAGATACAGCAGAGGCTAGAGCCTGGAGGGGGGGCGAGTGAGGAAGTGAGTGAGGAAGTGGCCCCACTTCAGAGAAAGAAGAGGAAGGTGGCTGAGCCAGAAGTGAGGGGGGATGAGGTGACTGAGTTCGTACCTCGCCCTTCTGCTCCTGAAATCAGCCTTGAAGTCAGGGAGAGGGAAAGGGCCGAGGTGCAAGGGCCTAACGAGGGCACGGAGCTCATCCCTCCTCACTCGTACAAGAAGAGTTTGTTCGAGGCGAGGAACACAACTGGGGCGAAGCACTTCCTGAACGCCACTCTGCCTGAGGTGGATAAGACGCGAGCAAGGGACGAGGCGGTGAGCCAGCTGGGGGCAACTGTTGTAAGGCATGCCCTGGAGGTACGTAAGAGTGTTGTGACCTATTTACGTTCTATGTTTTAGTATTATTATTTTTTGTTACTTTTGCATTTTTGAGGCCTAACTTCTGCTGGCATTGTAGAGTGCAAGCTGGACGAATGCTCTGGCGCAAGAGTACGCAGAGAGCGTGAAAGATCGCGCCAGCTTGCTGAGGCAATGCGAGGCCCTGCGAAAGGAGAAGGAGGAGCTGCAGAAGGAAAAAAGGGATTTGCAGAAGAAAAACCAGCAGATTCAGAGGAGGCTGGATGAGGTGACACCAACAGTAACCGAGCTCCAAAGTGATAACAGTGTCTTGAGCACGAAACTCTCTCTTGAGGAACGTAAAAGGAAAATTTGCGAAGAGAAGCTCGAGGCTCAAGACAAATATATCGAGAGCCTGAAGAAAGGGGCAGTGGAGCTGAAGAAGAACGTGGAGTTGTTGGTGCACAACGGGATGGAGGGACATATTGGCAACTTTCTCAACTCCAATACCTTCGAGGGCATCCTCAAGTTGTACCGGCTCCCCACCGCCATCCTGGCCTTCACCGACTGTAGAAAGAAGGTGAAGGCCCAGTACCCAGAGGTGGACGTGACAACGATCACCTTTGGGGAACAAGAAGATGGAGTAGAAGAGGATGGTGAGAGTCTCTGTGCCGACTTCCGACCTCTGATCAAGTTGAGGTGGGAGCATGACGTAGAGGGACGCACTATCTTTCCTCCAGACTTTGATGCTGAGCTGGTGGCAGTGGAGGAAGAAGGAGAAGGAGAAGAAGAAGAGCAAGGTGCTGGAGTTGAAGATCAGGCAGTCTTGGCCGAAGTGCAGCCTCCTGAGGTGCATCCAGTCTCTTCTGACGAAGTGCAGCTGCCGGCTCTTCCTGAGGCAGAAGTGTCGCCCCTGCCTACTGGAGATGCACCGTCTCAACCCCTACTCCTTGCGGAGGAGCAGCCTCCTCCTCCAGCAGAGTAGTTTAGGATTTTTCTTGTAAAAAAACATTTTTGTTATAGATTGTTTATGAATTCATAAAATTTTGTTTTGAAGTTATTTTGATGTGTGTTTGGTATTTTTACTTTAGATGAAATAAAGTTACCTTAATTAACATAAGGAACTGACCTCGGATGCAATAAAGCAAAGTAATTGACTTCGGACATACACGAGGCAGACCTCAAAGAAATGAAAGATGAAGTAAAACCAGTATAAGTGAAGCGTAATCGTATCCCAAAAATGAAGGGACTAAATAAGCCATAAGGAATTAATTTCCAAAGTACAGAAGGGTAGAAAGAACTGAATTACTTCGAATGCGAAGTGAAATTAATGAGATATATGAATTGAGTTAAAATACACTCTAAATTGAGCAGAAGGAGTGAAAGTAAGAATTATCAAAACAAAGTTCACTCAAATGAAGTATACTTAAGGGTAAAACTTCTTCAGGTTATTGATATTCCAGACTCTGGGAACCCGTTTGCCTTCAGTGTCCTGTAGGATATAAGCACCTGGGTGTGGCACTTCGGCGACAGTGTAGGGGCCTTCCCAGTTTGGTGCTAATTTGCCGAATCGAGTTTCGAACCCCGTTAGACCAGCTTTCCTGAGAACAAGGTCTCCTACTTTGAATGATCGGGGTTGAACTCGTTTATTGTAGAAGTTTGCTATTTTCTGCTTGTAGACTAGAGTTCGAAGTCGTGCTTCTTTTCTGAGGTCATCAAGCAGATCAAGGTTCTCCCGAAGCAGTTGTCCATTCCGTCTTTCATCGAAATGGGTGACTCTGAAGCTTGGAACTCCTATCTCGATAGGAATGACTGCTTCGGTACCAAAGGCCAGATGATATGGTGTTTCACCTATTTCAGTGGATTATAATTTTAGAATGCGCTTTACACGTTATGCATATTTGCTCTACGGTAAAATCGTAGCAGAAGAAGTAGAGTAACATAAAATTAACCAAATAGGCCAGGTGTAGAGTAATACCTGTGGCAGTTCGACTCGTAGTTCTGTATGCCCAGAGGACGTTGTTGAGCTCGTATGCCCATTTGGCCTTGTGTTGTTCCAACCTCGGCTTTATACCTTCTAAGATGCACTTGTTAACAGATTCGACCATGCCGTTGGACTCCGGATGGTAAACCGAGGTGAACTGCAGTTTAATCCCGTAATTGGAACAGAAATCTCGAAAAGAGGTGCAGTTAAATTGAGGTCCATTATCAGCCACAATCTGATTCGGGATCCCATATCTGCAGATGAGTGAGCTGAAAACAAAGTCTTCAACCTTCTTAGAAGTAAGACTGGATAACAGCCGAGCTTCAACCTACTTTGTGAAATAATCTACACCAACAATCAGGTGGGTTACACCACCAACCCCCTTCACGAATGGGCCCAAAAGATCCAATCCCCACTGAGCAAATGGCCATGGCGCTACTAGAGTAGTGAGCTCTTCTGCAGGCTGGTGAGTCAGGTGCGCAAAGAACTGGCATTTCGAGCATCTCTGAACAAAGTGAGTGGCATCCTTGTACATGTTGGGCCAATAATAACCCTGTCTAAGGACTTTATGAGCCAAAGTTCGAGCACCCACGTGACTTCCGCAGACACCTTCATGTACCTCCCTAAGTGCATATTCTACTTCATAGGGATTCAAGCACCGTAGAAGAGGTAGAGAGAAAGATCGCTTATAGAGGACCCCATCAACAAGTGTATACCGAGATGCTTTCCTCCTCATCTTCATCGCCTCCTGCTTGTCCTCAGGTACTATCCCGTCTCGTAAGAAGGAGAGGATTGGGTCAGTCCAGCTTGGTGTGCCAGGGTCAGTGCTGATCTCCATCACCCGTGGCTTCATGAAGCTTGGTTCATCTAAGACCTCTACAAAAACTGATCTGGAATGTGAAGAACTATCAGAGGTGAATTTAGAGAGTGAATCTGCCTGTTCATTCTCAGTTCGGGGGATTTTGCTCAAACAGAATTTCTGAAATCTGCACTTCAGCTCGGCCACCAGAGCTACATATTTCACCATCACAGGATCAACAACTTCGCAGATTGAGTTAATTTGATTCACCACCAGTTGGGAGTCGCTGGATACCTGGATCGTACTGAGTTTTAATTCCAATGCTAGCTGTAGACAAAGTAGGAGGGCTTCATACTCAGCCATGTTGTTTGTTGCATCGAAGTTAAATTTCAAAGCGTGTTCACTTCGGTATCCATCTGGGCTGATTAAGAGAGCACCAGCTCCTGAACCTTTGCTGCTAGATGCCCCATCAATATATAAGGTCCACTCACTGGGCTCTGGAGTAGGAATGGAATTACCTGGAGTGCACTCTACAATAAAATCTGCCAGTGCCTGAGCTCGGATTGCAGATCTCTGCTGAAATGTTATCTCAAATTCCCCCAGTTCTACTGCCCACTTAATTAATCTTCCAGAACACTCGGGCTTTTGCAGAATCTGCCGAAGGGGTTGGTCTGTAAGAATAATGATCAGGTGCGACTGGAAATATGGCCTCAACTTTCTAGCCGAAGTGACAACTACTAAAGCTGCTTTCTCAGCTATAGGATACCTCAGCTCGGCTCCATGTAGCACACTACTGATATAATATATTGGTTTCTGCTGTTTGGCTTCTTCTCTTACCAGAACCAAACTAATGGCTTCATCTGAAATTCCCAGATATAAATAGAGGATTTCTCCATCTTTGGCTTTAGTCAGTAGAGGTGGTGAGCTAAGATAAGACTT